TGTTGACGTGCTGCTAGTCAAGGATGTACTGCTGGAGCTTGTGGTTGTGTCTGTTGTTGAGTTGCTTGTTGAACTGCTGCGTGTGGTGCTTGTTGAGGTTGAACTACTTGATGTAGATGTAATTGTTTGGCTCCTGCTGGTTGTTGAGGTTCTAGTTGCAGTTCTTGTCAATGTTGAGCTTTTCGTCACTGTTCTTGACGTAGTAGATGTTTGGGTTCTTGTTTGACTGGTGGTGGTCGTGAAAGACCTACTACTTGTGAACGTCGTTGACTTTGATGTTGAGGAGCTAGTGTAGGAGGTCGCTGTGTTGGTCATCGAGGAGCTAGTCTTCGTACTGCTCATACTAGTGGAGGTGCTTGTGGAGCTTGAGCTGCTGGCTGTGGATGTCGTCGAGGAAGTTGTTGAACTGCTGCGGGTCATACTTGTCGACGATGAACTGCTAGTTTGGGAAAAAGTGGTGCTCGAGCTTTGCGTTGTTGTTGCGCTCCATGTGGAGGAGCTGGTTGTTGAAAAAGTACTGCTCGAGCTTTGGGTTGTCCAGGTCTTTGAAAGACTGGTGGACGTGCTGCTAGTGGTGCTTGTCAAGGTCGCAGAGGCAGTTGTTGAAGTGCTAGTGGAGGTGCTTGCTGATGTTGAACTTTGGGTAGTGGAAGACGTAGTGCTGGAGCTGGTGGTTGCAGATGTCGTGGAGGAACTTGTTGAAGTGCTGCTGGAGGTGCTGGTTGATGTTGAGCTACCAGTTGTTGAAGATGTACTGATCGAAGTGTGCGTTGATGTTGTGGTCGACTTGGAGGTACTGGTTGTTGAAAATGTGCTGCTGGAGCTTCGAGTTGAGGTTGTGGAGCTTGACGTTGTGGTTGAGAACGTTGTTGAACTGCTAGTGCTTGACGAGCTGGAAGTGCTTGATGCACTTGATGTTGTGCTGGAGCTAGAGGTTTCTGATGATGAGCTGCTTGTCCTGCTTGTCTCCCCGCTTGTCTATGCGCATGAGGAGAAAAAAAAACGACCCGGTCATCCACGAATCCTGCGGTCCGTACTGGGTCCCGCCCATTTTGTCCCCCTCACCCGAAAAAGGAACGAAGGGACCAATCCGCTTTCTTTGGGAGATGCCATTGAACCGATAAAGATCTGTCTTAAAATGCTACGACCTAAGAAAACCTCTTGCGAACCTGTCCTGGTGGTCGATGTGGAAGAACCTGAAAGTTGGCCACTCGATGTTAGAATGAATCTTGAGATGTCGCACTCGGAACTAGCATGGTGCCTTGGAAGATCAGTTTCCTCCATACAAACATTAGATTTTCATGGATGTTCCACTTCATGTGAGTTCTAGGGAGAGTAAGTTTTATCTGCTTGGCCCCCCCCCGCGTCCAAGTTTATTTTGAATGGCTTCCCTCCCTTCACGGACAAGTCTTCCCTAAAATCCCTGTGGCATATCAAATAAATCCCACCCCAAAAAAACAGATATTCTTTTAGGCTAAGTTGTTCTTCTTGCAAACAAACATGGTACCAAGATACTGGTGGACAAGCTTGAGGTTGTGCTAGAGCTTCGGGTCGAAGTTGTCGTCGTCGTGCCTTGGCTGGGCCGCTGGCGCTGTCGAAGTGCTGGGAGCTTCGGAGCTTCAGGTTTGCCCGCGCTTGGCGGGTGACTGATTGGTGCACCTTCCTAGTGCTGACCTGGTGACCTGCTCAACAAAAGGAAAGGGTCAAAAGCGGTTCAAGATCAGAGTTGCTCCAATCCAATACAGAAGTTGGAGCATCGTACGTTTCACATGGGTCCATGTTGGCATATTGATGCATACTGGCATATTCGCCAAGTTCTTGATATTTCTTGACGACTTGCCAGTTAGCATGACTATCCCAAGCCTGCTAGCATCCCTGGCGCCTGCCTGTACATGATGTCAGCCATGTCAGCCACTTGATCTCAAAAGCTCAATCTTTGTTAGACTTCTTGGAACACAACAGCTCTACAGCTATACAGCGGTGATCACTATTTGGTTGTGCTGCATTGTGACCGAGGAAGCACACGCAGCAAGAAGCCTGACTCGTCGCTACAAGACGTCGATGGAGACGACCCGTTGCCGCCGGGTACCTGGCACGCGGTTCCCGTGCGAAATCATACACAAACAAGTGGCACCCTCACAGAAACGACAAGCCTTGGAAACTGACAGTGCCTGGTAGTGGCCCTGCAGTTGGCTCAATCTACCAGTGGCTTGCACAACTTCCAAGTTACCCAAGACTCGTGGCTGATGTTCATGTGCAAGCCAGCCCCCCAAAAAGGCGGTGGTCGCGGGTGGGCTTCATGAACCGATGAACACGCGTGCCCACTCCCACGCGGCTCACGTAGGCGCAGTTCTGCGCAAACGCCAAAGTGCCGCAGATGCAAAGCACAATGCCTCAGGTGCCGCTGATTAATGAGTGCAGAAAAGCACTGGCCCAAAATGAAATAAGACACATGCTTGTTGTCTACTCCCAACAATGACGCAAACTGTGAACATTGCAATGGACTTTGCAATGGTGCCAACATATTGTTTTTGTTGCGGGTATGTGTGAAATATATAATATATATATATACAAATATATGTGTAGACGCACGTCGGGCACATGAGGATAATGGGGTTTTCCACATCATCTTTTTCGCTTACTGAATGTTACTAGAACTGCGCATAACTGCCCTCTGCATTCCTCGATTTATCTTGTTTATTGCTCTTGGTGCAGTTGCCTAAGGTCAGGCTCATTGCCTTTAGTCCGGTTCCAGTTTTCGGTCCCAGTTGTTCATCAAGCACCTGCTTCTCATCATCACTGACGCTCAGGCAAACATCCTATGCAACCTTACTTGATCTGGTCCACTTTTGGCATCGGGCACAGCTAGAACACATAGGTTCCCGTTTTGGTCGTTTACCTCCCTCCCCTGCTATCGCAATGTCCACGACTCTGATTTGTGACTGTGGCTTGCATATGGTGCTAGGTTGCAGCATGCATTGTGGTGATGATGTTTCTTGTTATTTTCCGATGAATGTATGGGTACCTAGATCCACACAAAGACACGAACAGCTAGCCCATGCTTGCGGCATTGTTTTTCTGCATAATTTCACAATGTGTCTGCTCACCTTCTCGATATGCAAACAGAACTCACAAATTAATCTGTATAGGTCTTCGTGGTCTCCTTTTGCTCTAGGACGACTTTCCGGCTAATGTCCCTTTCGCAGGTCACCCCCTGCAAAGCAAACGAAGCGCAAGAACATTCGCCATTCCACCCAGTCCCGCTTCAACATCATCTTCAACCTGTCCTCTCTCAATGTGTGTCCGCCAGGCTGT